GCTGCATCAACGCTTATTTCAGCCACCAACGGCCTTTTGACTGCAGCATCACAACTTTTTGAAGTGATCGCTCCCAGACCAATTCGCTTCACTGACCACCGGTACGATATTACAACTCGCCGGGGTCATTTCATTTGGTGCTGCTGCTTCTTTCACCAACACGCACCTCTCAGGCCATGGCCGCCGCTCCGCCATCCCTCTCAAACTACCCGCCGTCACACACCAGCTCCCCCTCTCGCCATCTCTCTCAATACTCTGCCTCGTCCACTATCGCCGGGACTCCCCTCCCAGACCGCACGTCCGGCACCCCCACCAGCATCACATCGGCCTCGACCCTGCGCTACCCGTCGACCCGCAAGACCATCTACGACCGCAACCTCAACCGGTCGCGCAATGCCGAACTGTCGAGAGCCAGCTTCGCCTACCTGTTTATGGAGATGGTCGCGTACGCACACAAGCGGGTCAAGGGGATCCAGGACTTTGAGAAGAGACTGAACGAACAGGGCTACCCCTTGGGGCTGAAGCTGCTGGATCTTCTGCTGTATCGAGCGTCGCCGATGGGTGGCTCGAGTTCGTCGAGCGGAGGGTCGTCGAGTAGCAGTTCCGGAGCAGGGGCCAGTCGGCCGCTGAGGCTATTGCCCCTTTTGACGCTCCTGACCACCAAGCTCTACCCTTTACTGTTCTCCCGACCTGCCGACTCGCTTGAACAGTCCACGACGAACCCAGGGGAGTACATGATAATCGACAACACTCCGCTCACGAACCAGTACATCTCTGTGCCCAAGGAGATGTCCCAGTTGAGCGTGGCGGCATATATTGCGGGAATTATCGAGGGCGTGTGTGATGGCGCAGGCTTCTCTTGTAAGGCCAGCGCACACAATACCGGCACCGATGTGTGGCCCAACCGGACCGTGTTTCTGATCAAGTTTGACGAGAGCGTCATGGAACGGGAGCGGGAGCTGGAGAGGCAGGGGGTCAAGTGAGGAAACTAAAAGTTCAGGGGCGAGGTTACCGACCACTTTACGGTGGTAAGGCAGCAAGATGGACAAGTTCGAGAAGGACTTAAAGAGGACCGAGGAAACGTGGTGACAGGGGTACCTATCGCTCAGTATCTGCAATGATGGTGTCAGCCAGAGGCACAGCTCGAGGGATGTAGCGCTGTGCCCGCGCTGCGAATTTTGGTCCAGATCCCTCCCTAACGGTGCTGCACGGAGCCAATGTCCAACTGTCATGGCCAACACTTTCCACAACCGGCTTCCAGCTGCTCTACGACTCCCCACACAACACACCATTATCATATTATATTTCTCGATGTCCAGCCTTGAACTCTATACACTCGATCTCATCAATCCCCTCGTGTTACACTCAACGCATTTCAGTGGCACATTAGGATTTGAAGCTAACTAGCAGCGCTCTAGCTGCTACCTTGGGGCTCCGGAGGAGGAGTGTTAGGCCGGATGGGATCGATTGTGAAGATGCCTGTTGAGGGCTGTCAGCGCGAAAACCTGTGCATTATCAGTATTGCAACGAACCAGAGACAGGTCTGTCCATGCCGGGACCTGCGCAAGGCGCGGCCCGAGTGTGCGGATCAATTGGGGACATCATCAATTTGAACGACTCTGGACGGGCAGTTGGGCCTGCCCGAAGGCCTGGTGGTGGTGTCGGCAATCTTGAACTCGCACAGAGCACAGCATTTGACCGTTCGTCTGGGAAACGAATCCACGATCTGGTGTCGGCCATTTTGATGCAGTTTTCTGCGTGGTTTTATCAATGTCAAGTCTCCTGTTTCTTGTGGTTGACCACGAAGCGCTTGGCTTCCGTGCAGAACCAGAAATCAGACGAAAGCTTACCAGAGTCTCTCAGAGATTGCTCAGTGTTCAGCGGTATTGCTATATTCTGATTCTTTCGAGGATGCTCGGACAGACTTGTTTCTAGGAAGGCTCGTTGCGTTGAGAGAGAGGGGGGGGGAGAGAGGTATAACGATATGAGCTATTTGATCGAAGCAGAAAGCAGAAACAGGTCCCGGGTCCACGCCTCTTTATATCAACCCCCCTCCCATCCCGTGTTTGGATGGATGCGAGGTGACGGCCAAAGCAAGAGCCAGACGTCAAATCTGTTTGATATGTGGCAGCTGGCTTCTGTCAACTGGAACGAACAGAGCGGCGGGCGGCGGGCGACGGGCGACGTCCCATCCGTTTGATTTATTGATTGATAGTGAGAGAGTCTGACTCGTTCGCGTGCCACTTTGTGATATGGGCGGGTGGGGTTCACTCACAGCACAGTGAGAATTACGAACAGGAACAAGAACAGGAGGGGCGGTGATAAGACAGCTCTAAATAGATGTGACTCGGAACATTAATGGAGCGGAAATTGTCGAAGGGGTTGAGTTGACACGGAACCATCCAGACTCCGCTATGAGAGAAAGGCTGAAACATTCGATAGGAATGTTGGATGATTCTGGTCACTCAGTATGCTCTCCCACCCGTTCATTTCGGAGGGATGGAAATCCTGGACTATTATATTCAATACATGTCCGAATTCGGAATTCTGTATTGGTGATCGTCCGCCTGTACAGGAGAAGGTGTACAAGGTTTTCACTTCTTGTTCCGTTTATCCGTCTGCGTACGCTGCAATCCAAGTCAACGCCAGACGTTCTTGAATATCACCCGCCCACCCACTCCAAGAAGGCGGTTGAATCGCGCCTGGTTCACCATGTACATGCATGAAAAGAAGATCACTATTCAGACCTTCGCACGGTTGTCTCGTCGGCGGTTGTAGGGTTCGCGGTCTCTCGAGTCCCGCTCGTACGAATGTTCCCTCTTCCGCCGTCGAGGAGAGCGGGACCGGGAGCGAGAGCCCGATCGCGACCCTGAATATGAGCGTTTCCGCCGGTCTCTGTCCCAGTCTCTGTCGTCTCGCTGATCACGACCACTGTCTCGAGACCGGTACGAGTCTCGATACGAGTCTGTGTCTCTGTGCCCATCCCGGTTTCTCTCCCTATCGTCGCGTCGGGGAGCAACAGCACTTGCATTTGCGCCAGTCGGGCCGTTTCTCCCACCCCCGCGATCATCATCGGGCAAAAACCGCTCATCCAGGCCTCTCGTGTCGAATGCCCCTGACCCCCTTGGGCCGGCACCACCACTGCCCTTCCACCTCTTCACCTCATCCCCAAACCGGCCAGTATCCTCCCCCTTGAGATCCGTGTACCTCGTCCTCCCCTTCTTCCCCAGTTTCGTCATGTCTCGCAGCCGCATGTACTCGGGCAAAGTAGACTTGTCGGTGACCTGATCCTCGAACCTCGCACCCATGATATCTCTCCTCTTGAGCAACTCGGCCGTCTCGTCGCCCTGGAAGAATGCTCCTTTGTGGTGGTATCGTGCCAGAAATGTGGCCTCAGAACGGCCCTCTTCGCGCTCCTGTTTCTGTCTTTCCAGGTATGCTTGGTCTTCCTTCTCCCGCTCCTCCGCAGTCAAATTGCGCCGCCGTTCGATCTCTTCGAGCTCCTTTTCCCGTGCAATCAGTGCCTCCCGATCGCGCTTCAGGCGCTTCAGTTCCCGAAGTTTCCAGGCTGCGTATTCGGCGGCAGGGTCGAGACCGTCAGTGTCGTCCACCATGGATTCCGGCAGTACTTCGTCATCGTCATCCCATGCCTTTTTGCCCTGGGCGCGGGCGAGGGCGTCACGTTCGAGTTTGTCTTTGATCAGAAGTTCAGCTTGGGCAAGACGCCGGGTTTGGACGTCTACTTCCGGGTCTGGGGTTGCAGATGCTTCAGGACGGGCATCAGAGACCTGTGTGGAAGGTTTCCGATCCGATTTCTTGATAAATGTCGGGCGCTGGAATTTTCGCCGAGGCTGTTCTTCTTCGGACGAGGTTTCTTCCTCCTCGTCGTCCTCCGAGGACTCCTCTTCTTCTGATTCCTCGTCTTCCGTAGATCTTTCTCTTGTAGATTCCGGCCTTATCGGAGCCTGTCTAGTGGAGGGTGCTGTACCCTTTGGCGGTGGTTGCACTTGTTTTGTAGGCGCAGCATTATCATCATCTTCCTCTTCTGTAACAAAGCCTTCCTCGTCATCCTCATCGCTTTCCTCTTGTCGAGCTGGCTGGGTGGTAGGCGGCCGTGGTCTCGTGGCCGGCGGCTTCCTCTGGGGTGGCGGTGGCTGCTGCTGCTCTTCCTCTGATTCTTCATCCTCGTCAGACGATTCTTCCTCCGCAATTGGTTTGCCGGGACGATACCTTGCCACGGGTCGCGCTGGGTTTGCAGTCATCCGCTTCGCGGGGTTAGGCATTGGTGGCGGCATCTTGAGAGCGGAGCATCAAGTATGGCGATAGACTGAGAACGTGTCAAAAAGTCAATACCACCTCAAGGCTGGGAAGATTGCCTGCAAACCGGAGACCTGCTCTGGTGCCAGAACCCATACACTTTTGAACAGAGAAATGCAGGATGTTTGATGTTACAGTACGGCGCAGTAAATAATTTTACTTGGTCACTACGTAACTCGATCTGTCGTCGGCGTTACTGCGGGTAAATATGTGCAGTAACACGATCAGCCACGATCTCTCGTTTCTCTCATCTCATTTTCACTTTGTTTGTGAATTGGCATCCCTCATGACTACCAGCATGGTGACACCTGATGGCAGCTTTGTTACTGGAACAGCACTGTCATTACAGTGCACTTGGGTATTAACTGTCCTGGGAATTACACTTCTGTAGGTGTCATGTCCAGTGTCACGGTTGTCTGTCGGATACCATCCTGCTGAACGCGCGTGATAGATCAGTGAATGCTATGGCAGTCGTGATCCTGGGTAAGACCGGTAAGCTCTTTCCTCCGCCATGATCTAGTTCCTACCGCTTCTATCCTCGCCTTATGCTACATCTTTGCGTTCATTTAATGTCCGTCAACCAAACTTCCATATCCAATACTTGATGGGTCCACAATCACCCTTTCATTTCATCCGAACAAGAACAAAACTACATTCCTTGAACCACAAATTCTACCAGAATCATGTCTGATAGAAGTGAAACCCCATCACCTACCGCTATGCCATCATTCCGGTCTCGCGTCATTGGCACCTGGGGCCTGGTGTCGTACGTCGCCATCAATCTTGAGGACCCGCAAGACATCGTCTACCCAATGGGCAAAGAGTGCAAAGGTCAAATCATGTACAGTAAGGACGGCTACATGGCAGCATTGCTACAAGAGGCAGACCTCGAATCCTTCGACCATGACTGGAAGGACGGCACTACTCAAGAACTGGCCAATGCAGCAAAGAAGACCATCGCGTACTGCGGGCCATTCTATCTCGACGAAGAACACAGCAAGCAACAAAAGATTGTCCATCACGCCCAAATCAGCGTTCACCCCAACTGGATCAACACGCTTCAAATTCGATGTGCAGATATGTTTGAGGAGGATGGCCATGACTATATTATGCTGGGACCAGAGTCTCCAACTGAGTGGCAGGGTGTCAAGCGACTCCTTCGGCTGAAATGGCGCAAGCTCACTCAGAACGATGCGGCTCAACCTCCAGCAGACGCTAAGGAGCTCAAGATCTGAGAAGTGACACATATGGAGAACATGGCATAAATTACAATAAGATCCTCAGGAGGTGCTGACGACACAATCGTTCGACCATTCGGGGGCCAGTATTTTTAAGCAACAATCTGCCTTACGCCCTTTTTTGACCTGGTGAAGGATCCTGTGCATGGCGCGTGCCTGACACCACAAGCTACAAGCTACAAACCGTAGCTACATAGACCTAGAAATCAAGCTAGAGCAACCCGAGTGATATTTCCAATTTTTTGTAGCCCATCCCCCTAATATTTGGTCGCCTGTATAAATTCGGTATAGTTGAAAGTGGCTTGATCAGGCTGGCCGGCAACAGGGGCTTCCGATCCAGCTTGACCGACTTCCCCAACCATTATTATTCTGGAATTTCAATCCCGTTCAGAATGTGAACCAACCGTGCCCCAGGATCAAGTAGATCCTATCCCTTGGAGTCTTTCCCTCTTTTCACAGCGCAGCAATGGCTGCTGAAGTAGCGAACAATGCTTCGATGCCCAGCGGGCCAACTGACCCTGAAAAGGCCGCAGTTGATCTTGCATCCAATATTGATCAAGTGAAGCTCGAAGACAGCAACACCCCGACCACCACGCAGACCACAGTACAGCCTCCAGATCAAACCCAACAAATCAACGAGTCTGCCGTTGCAGCGAATGACGTTACGATAGAAAAGCGTCCCGATGTCGAACCCACGACTGAACTCCCTGCACCCCCTCCGGCAAAGACATTAAACCTCCCGCGCACCGCAGCTGAAGGTGTGATCAAGACGCCACTGGCCGAACCTCTAGAGACCTCTAAGCCCGCTCCTCGACCAGAATTGGAAATAGAACATGAGAACAAGTATGCAAGCCTTCTCAAGATCGTGTCCGCCTGGACTGAGATCCCAGAGACGTCTGCAAAGGGCTCGAACACGACGCCCCTAACCGACTCAGAGCGCATGTTCTTGACAAGAGAATGCTTGCTCCGCTACCTGAGGGCTACAAGCTGGAACGTGGCACAAGCAGAAACAAGACTGAAAAATACTTTGATCTGGCGACGCGAGTATGGCTTGGAGAAACACACAAAGGAGTACATCTCCATTGAGAATGCGACAGGAAAGCAGGTTATTCTGGGATGGGATATTCAGGGCCGGACGTGTCAATACCTGCGCCCATCAAAACAGAACACTGAGCGGAGTGATCGGCAAATCCAGCATTTAGTCTTCATGCTGGAGCGTGCTATTGATTTAATGCCAGCCGGGCAAGAGACTCTCGCTCTGCTGATCAATTTTGCAGAGACAAAATCTGGACAAGGCGCGACACTTTCTCAGGGCAAGCAGACCTTGCACATCCTTCAGAATCACTACCCCGAGAGGCTCGGCCGCGCTCTCGTCACCAATCTGCCATTCTACATCTGGGGCTTCTTCAAGCTGATCACGCCATTCATTGACCCGTTGACAAGAGAGAAGATCAAGTTCAACGAAGATATGGGACTACATGTGCCACGTGAGCAGCTGCTCAAGGAAAGCGGGGGACATGTCGAGTTCGAATACGACCACGACGTCTATTGGCCGGCTCTCAATGAGTTGTGCGAGTGGAGGAGGGCAGAGTACCGGCGTCGATGGGAGGAAGGAGGCAAGCGAATTGGTGAATATGAAGGATATCTCAAGGGAGGGGACGAGAAGTCGCTGGCCGAACGGGAGAAGGAGGCAGAGCAATCGTCTGCGTGAGAGAGGCAACGTATCTTATTCGCATTGATTGGCTACATGGGTACGCCTGCATTCTCTAGAGTGGCCTTGGAATAGTATCAGGGACAGGAGTTTGATGATAGGAACAGGTATACTGTCTTGTGACTACTGCGCGGGACACGTATAAATTACTTGCATTAGGCGGGAATGGGGAATCACATGCTATTTTTGGTGGGCGGATATGCCTATCCACAGGCACCACCGCCGGATCACCAACCGAATAATAGTCGAAATCTTCAGCCTCTGCCCCTCCATTGTACCAACACAGTATTCTCCCCGCCTTGTCCGGACTACCGCTCCGGTCGGCAGCCCTTAATCGTGAGCCCCCAAGGGCGGGAAGACGGGATATGGCGTGCATGTCGCAGGTTCATTGTCTGTTACGCACATAGAGGTCTGTCAGTTGGCCCGAGAAATCAGGGATTCTTCACCACCAATCCATCCTTCTAACGCTTTGTGTAACGAGTTTAGCGACCATCTTTTTCAGCTTTGCCATCCTCGACTTGTTCTGTCCTGCAGGATCTTCTCGTGTGACAAGCCCACCCTTTTTCTCCACTCCTCCTCATCCTCCGTCTACTGCACACTCGACCACACATCATCGAACACCACCCGCGAAAGCAGAGTTTACGATTGCCAGAAGAGCACAAAACGATGCGGTTTGACAGGTCACAATGGCAGACGACACAGAGGTGACCCAGTCGCCTTCGCATTCGCGCACTACCCCGCCAAACGGTCAACCGACCGGTCCTTACCATCACCATTCTCACCACCACCACCACCACCAACACCACCCGCACGTCCAGAATAGCAGCCCTTCTCCTCCCCCTCCTTCCGGTGCCGCTAATTATGGCGCCCACGAGGCCACCTTTGTCCGGCCATCAGACCTTTTGCGCCCAAAAGCTGTTCCTCGTAATATCCCTCCTCCTGCCCCTCAGAGATCAGAACGTCCGATAGACCGAGATGAAAGAGCCGGCTTGCAGGCAATACGGGACTTCCTTCGAGCGCGCAAATGCTACGATGTGCTACCCTTGAGCTTTCGTCTGATTGAGCTAGATGTTGGTCTCACGGTCAAGGAGAGCTTACAGATCATGGTCCAGTGTGGTACGTCCTCCTCAACCTCCAAGAGAAAGTCTGACGGAAGGAACTCATGCTGATGTTTGTGTATTAGGTATCGTCTCTGCGCCGCTATGGGACTCGAACACTTCCACGTACGCTGGTCTATTGACCGTCAACGACTACCTCAATGTCGTCAGGTACTACAACGTCCACGCTGACAAACTGAAAGATGTCGATAAACTGCTACTCAGCGATCTAAAAGGTAAGGCTGTGTCTTGAATTCAAGAGTAAAAACTCCAACCAAAGACTCACGCTCTACAAGATGTCGAGAAAGTCCTTAACGTCAAACCTCCCGAAACCGTCTCCGCCTCTCCCGAAGCTATCCTCTACGATGCCCTGCGCAAACAACTTGTCTCGCGCGCTCGCCGAATACCTTTAGTCAGTTATGACAGCGACACACAACGGACAATGGTCACTTCAGTCATCACCCAATATCGTATACTGAAATTCATCTCCATGAACGTCAAGGAAACGGATATGTTGAGAAAGCCCCTCGAGATGATAAAACTAGGCACATATACAGGCATCGTGAGGTGTAGCATGGACACTACGGTATTGGATGTGGTCGATGAGATGGTCACCAAGAACATCAGTAGTGTGCCCGTTGTCACAACGGAGGGTAAGTTATCACTACTCACATCCGATGGTCATATTTGCGCTGACTGAACGATGGTAGGCATGCTGTTGAACGTCTTCGAAGCCGTTGACGTGATTGAGATCCTCAAATCCGGCGACTACGGCAATTTGACCTGGACCGTGGGCAAGGCTCTCAGTTGCCGCTCGCCCAACCACCCAGGCATATATTGCTGCTCGCTCGAGGACGGGTTAGATACCATTTTCGAAACGATCAAGAAGTCCAGGGTCCATCGGTTGATGGTAGTGGATGAGCAGAACTACCTGAAAGGAGTGCTAAGTCTTAGTGACATCTTACACTATCTGCTTGTGGACGGTCCCGAGGACTAGGACAGATCTGCGGATGGCCATGTCACTGCCGAGAAGATTTACGGCGCACGATGATCGGTCCTGCACAAAGCGGCTTACAGATGACGTATGATGAGCCAATGCCTCAGCGAAGAGAACGGGATCGGGATGGTGAAGGCGTTGGGTTGTCTAGGCCTTGAATAATGCCACCGACAGGTCGGGGGCACTTAGGGATACAGGGATACCACAAAGTACGAGGACAAGCCTGGCGTTGCATACGGAGTCTTCGGTATTGTGCTTTGATTCCACGGCTAACGGCAGAGACTTGAGCGCAACGACTTGCAATCCAGCCGGGCACAGGAAGAAGCATGGAAATGTCAGCCACGATGAACACAGTAATCGACGAGCTCGATTGCTTTACGACCCACGGCATTTGGCATGACAGCATGGCCGTAGCTCAATAATAGCAGATACGATTTCCCCTTCTTAGATCAGATTTGAACTGCGAGTTTCCTGTCATATGTGCTCCAATTTCCCTGCTGGTTCATTGTAAACCAGATCCCTTGCTGGGTGCATGCTAACACACTCATGAACTCTGACACTTATTCGAAGTGTAACGGCGTACGTATATCCACAAATCCAAAAAAGGTTTAGTACGAACGCCAGATCTTGGCAACACTTAACGCGTCCCTCGGATCGCGTTCACCATTGGATTTATCCGACTCTTCCTGGACCTACATCCATAGTTGTCACCGAAACGAAACGAACAAAGCTCTCACCTCTCACGAAAGTGGAAGTTTTCTGGGCTCACCGCGACCAAGAATCTTCTCCTCCGTTGTTCTCACGATGACGGCCATGAAGGAGAACCTCAACGCGGTCTTCGACCCCGCGGGGAACGGCCTCTCGCCAGAAATCCTCGGCGTGCTGGAATCGATACTGCGCGTCCACTCCATCGGTCCGGACGAGCTGTTCATAAAATGGGAGGTGTACTGCTTGAAGATGGGGAGTGAGGAGACCAAGCTGGACCTGGAGACGGCGCGCATGTTTGCAAAAGACGTGCAGGACTCGGTCGAGAGGGGCGAGCGCAACCAGCAGACGGCGCCGAAGTCTGCGGTCAAATCTGAAAGGAAAAGTCTCGTCCACGCCACGCCGAGGGCGGGGGGGACTTCAGACGTGTTTGGGATGTATGTTGCTCTGACACATCATTTTATTTGGTCAGGAGAGAGAGATTGTG